CGCGAGTAACAAGCGTGGAGGATTAAAAAATGATAAGTCGGGGGAGGGGGGGTGTTGGGAGTACTCGATACAGTATCATATTCATCGACTGACAAGTTCACGCTCGGCCGCGCCGGGGCCATTGTGCCTGACGCGCGCGCGTCGCAGGGCCGGAAACGCCCGTTGAAAAGGGATTTCCTTCGCAAGGGCCGTCCCGTCGCGGTCTTTATTTTCGTCCCGCCGTATCGTTTTTTTATTGTTTGGCCCCGGCGTTTCCTCCTGGCTTTTTATCTCCGCGCTGCCCCTCCGGTAGTTTCCTCCTTTTCCGAAGGCGCGGGTATTCAAATGAGATCCGTGGTGCCTCGTCGAGTGAGTCTGTTGCGCGCGAGAGATAAAAAAGGCTTAAGTGGAAATGGAGATGTTGCATGTATGATGAATTTGCGATTTGACTACTGATTCTCATGTAATAGGTCGCGAGAAACACGATGGTGCCATTGGTTTTCTCTGAAATCAACTCCCAAGCTCAAAAAAGCTCCCAAGTTGAGGCCAAAATGGAGGGTATATCCCACGCTATCCTGATAGTCCACCTCTACATTAAGACGAACTCTCCATGCAAAGATAGGGAGCAAATACATTGACAGGGATGCCGTATTTTCAGTTTTAGAGTCCCCAAATAAAGTAGTAGCCCTGTCCATTTAATGTATCCGTTAAAGTGGGTCAGTTGTGCTGGTCGCAGAATCGGGTTTCGATATGCTTGATTCATGTAGATTAGCTAAAGATATCGCTATTATCTGAAGATCTGACCGAACAGCGCAACTCTTTACGTTCGCATATCCCCTCCATTTTGGCCTCAACTTGAGAGCTTTTTTTGAGCTTGGGAGTTGATTTCAGAGAAAACCAGTGGCACCATCGTGTTTCTCGCGAACTTTTACATAAGAAACAACAGTCAAATCGCAAATTCCTCGCACATGCAACATCTCCATACTTAAAAATCGAATTGATTCAATTCGACATCAGGGGTAAGTTCAAGGGTAGGATGACGTCTTGGGTCGTAAAGCAGGCGAGCGGATACGGTTTTCCTAAACGGGGGCCGGCCCACCGGGGGGTTCGAGGGTAGCAGACCCGCCGCCCGGCCCTTCGAAAGGGTCCCGGTCCCTTTGCAAAATTTCCCAACTCCCCTCCCCAAGCCGGAGTGCCGGCCGCTTCGCATGCTGGCCGCTATTTTTCACTCATGAATAATTCCCGATTCAAGCTTGGATTTTGATCATTGTCATCGTTTCGAGCTAATTGGGAGCGTTCCTGAGCTGGAAATCACGGCCTGCACATAAAGGGAAAAATGGAGGACGGCGCGGCGGAGAAAAAAATGAAAAATGGAAGAGAAAAAAGTTTGAGAACGCTCGAACAAGGGAAGGTAGAGCATTATTTTCTGAGAAGATGGGGCAGTTCGGATTTATTCCCATCAAGTCGTCACAAGACCACCTGTATACACTGGAAAAAAAACACATTGGATCCAGAGTCCAGACTCTTGAAAACATTGACAAGAAAAAATACTCTTGATTCAATCGGAATTTTGCTTGAATCAAGACGAAATTCGCTTAAATTAAGGCTTGGTTCTTGATTTAAGCTAGATTCTGATTGAATCAATAGTACTTTTTCTTGTCGATGTTTTTAAGAGTCTGGGCTCTAGATCCGATGTGTTTTCATCCAGTGTACGGGAGAGAATTGCTATTTCTGTGCCGCTCTCTGGTTGGATCATCACTTTTAGGCTATCATGNAAACGGACAATTTTCAAATATTAAAAAAATTGGTTCGCAAATTATTCGCCACCAGTAGATCATCAAGGGTCACGCCGCCAGGTAAGAACCCGGCGCGGATACAATGGAAAGGTATCCTCGACCCGTCGGTGGATTCGGACACACCTCGGACGCACCTCGAGTGCACCCCGAGTGCACTCGAAGCGCACCCACTCTCACACTACACACTTAGTGCGTTCGGAGTGCACTCGGAGTGCACTCCGAACGCACTAAGGGCATTTTATTTTTACTAGGGATGTGTTTTTTTTCCAGTGCGGAGCTCTGAAATCGGACCATGTAAACAAACCCAACCCAGAGGCACACGTATTATCGGCTGAGAAATGAATGATAATTACGCTCAAAGCTAATTTCCGGCAAAAGTCCTCATCAAAGTTCGATCCGAACTCAATTCAGAAGTTGGATGTAAAAAAAATTCTATCGAACCCAAAATGATGTCTAGAATTTTGTAGAACTTTTTCACCATCTTGTTTACATCGGGCCAACTTGGGGGCTCCATGATAGCCGACCAATCAGAGAGCGGCACACTTCTCCTGTAGTAAAAGGATTGAGATGGCAATACTCTGGTATACAGATACTCGAGTTGTCACCTTCCGGCCAAAGTATTACAAGCGTAACACGTAACACATTACGCTTGAGGCGCAAAGCGCCTCAGAAGGATGGACCGCGATGCGGTAAGGATCATTTTGGTCACAAAATATCATATTGGTAAATCCTCTGGATATTATATGACTCGTGAGGAGTCCGCGGGTATAGATACTTCTCCAAAAATCAAAATTTTAATCATTACTCAATTCCATAGGTGAGTAAGTTACTAGAAAGTACCGAGGCAATAGATCGGAATGGACCACTAGACAAGGTACGAATCTCAGCATTCTGCTACATGGTTTTTAACCATAATTTCACGTAAAACACGCTGCGCACAGCGAAAATTACCGAAATCAACTCCTTACGAAGATGTTTAATGATTCCTGATGTATGAATTCAAACCACCCGCCCATGAAAACTCAATTCTCTGCATGACTCACATCGCGTGCTAAACGTTATCATGACAGTCTCTGCGATATACAAATCTGGCAACCTCAATCTTGACGTTTTGGCTCAGCTATAACAAATTGCTTATAGTTTGAACAACACATAGTGGGAAATGAACATTGCTCGATTGACGAAGCTTGCTGAAACCGTCATAGTGCGCGATTTGACTCATGTAAAGCTTTGAGTTTCTTGTGAGCGGGCACTTCAAATTTCTCGTAACCAATGTGAAATAAAAACGTTAATATCTTTGTCAGGAGTTGGTTTCAGTCATTTTCATTGCGCAAATCGTGATCTACGTGAAATTCTAGTCGATAAACATGTATCTGATTGCTTAAATTCGTACCTGGAAAAGTGGTCCATTGTTTCGTTATTGTGTCTGCTACAAATTCGCCGAGAGAGACGGTTGAGCTGTTATACGGGGGGACGGGGGGTGATACCACTATTCGACCACGCGGGAGCTTGTGTTGCCTACACTGCAAATTGAAGGCAAACTGAGATGACGGCGAAGCCGTCTTCCCGTTTGCTTAAAAGTTGTTTCTTGTGGGAATCCAGAGTGCGCTTGCAATTTTACGATGATACGACTGTTCGACCACGTAGGAGCTTATGTTGCCGACCTTTAAAATGGAAAGCGAACTGTCATGCCTTTAATGTAACCTCTTCTCGTTTCGTAAGAAATTATTTTTGAGAGTGTTCGGAGGTAGCATGTAATTTCAAGATGATGCTACTATTCCACTTTTCTCTCTTCCTTCTTTTATTTTCCTCTTACTTTTCCTCTTATCCTCTTTTCCTTTCTCATTTCTTCTTTCATTTTTCTTATGTTTTTATATCTTTCCTTTATCTTTGTTTTCTCTTTTCTTTTAAATCTTTCTCCGTTTATTTTTTCTTATTCTTCAATATTTTTTCTTCTTTCTCTTATATCATTCTATTCTTTCTTTCTTGTTCTTCTCTATTTTCTTAGCTTTTTCCTCTGCCTCTGTTTCTTCTTCTAATTATTCATCTTCTCTTTCCTGTTTCTTCGTTTGTCTAAAAATAAAACCGGTAAACCAAAAATTGAAGAGGAATGAAAATGGGGTCAAAGTTGCATCTTCCGGATAGTAAAAAGTTATTTCTTGAGCGAATTCCGAGTAAGCGTGCCGTTTCACGACATCCTCCGTTCCTCATCTTTTTCATTCATTCTTTCTCTTTTCTACTTCTCTCTCTTACCTTCTTCCTTCTTCTAATTTCTATTTTCCCCTTCTATCTCTATTTTCTTCTTCTTCGCTTTGTTTTTTCTTTCCCTTCTTGTTCTTTCTCTGATCCTTCTTCCTTTTCCTCTTATTCTTCTTCTTTTTCCCCTCTCTTTATCTTCTTCATCTCTCCTTATTATTTTTCTTCCTCTGCTACCTTTTTGCTTCGCTTTATAAAACACAATTTTTTTAAAAAATTTTCGGAAAATCATTCGGGAATACAAGACGTTTTATCGGCTGGGGGG